TGAGCTGAATATATTGATGCTGTAAGTAAAATAATGGTATTCTAATTAAGGAAGAATAGAAAATGGATGTGGAGAAGGTTCACATATAAAAACACTAGGGCATAAGAACCACTCAATTAAAAAATACATTGTTTGATCCCTTCCTTCATTGAGACAGTGAGGGACAATTGATTTTCAAATCAACCCCCAAATTCTGACTTCTTGTTGGGATCTTTCTCTAAGAAGAAGGGATGCTTTTGATACGGAAAATGTAGCACCTCAAACTTTGTGCTCTTTGCCTTTAGGATTTCTCATTCTTGCCAGAGCTGGTGAACTCCTTTTTAAGTATATATATAGAGAGAGGGAGACACCTACAAAATTGAGTGAGAGCATATAACTTCATTTGCCTCCTCTGGGTCTCCTGGGATATCTGGTAATCTCATGGGTTGGCTGTTGAAGGAAAACACATGAGTAACTCTGAAATTCTTAAAATAGGCTCCCTGAACCAATAGTAGGGGCATCCCCAGAAAAGTGGTTAGAAATGCAAATGATCGCCCCCAACCCCCAGGTCCTCTGAATTAGAGATGTGTATTTCAACAAGCCTTCCATGTGGTTGTGGTGGAAGCTACAATTTGAGAAGCACTGTTCCTGTGTAAAGCACTTTTCTCTCCCAACGAGTAGTCGCTGACTTTTTGGCTTCCATCTCTGCTCCAGCAGAAATGCTATCAAATGTGCAGTTCCTTCTGAAAAACCTGGTCTTCCCAATTGGGCGAGTTCTTGCTTCGTCGACTTTCTTTGCACACTGGCTAAAGCTCTGACAATCCGTCTTGACACAGACTGAAGTTATTGCCAAACCTCACTGTTGAGAGTAACATGTTTAAATAAAGGCCTTCGGCTATTTCGTTTTCCTAAGCCAGTGTATTGTGCTCAGCATGCTTTTGTTTGGAGGAAATGTACCTTGTATGGCTACACCCAGGTCGCAGTCATAGGGCACCTCTACCTGGGAATCTGTAACCGGAGCGAAGTCCCACGCACATGCCACAGAGCTGCTTTTGGAGAAATATACTGAATATAACAGGAGGAAAAATCACATCATCAACCTGTCAGATAATGGTTTTGTAGTGATCATCGTTGACAAAATTCTATTGGATTTGATTATTTACTTGTAAAAATTAACAAGAGAAATATGTTTGGGCTAAAATGAGCAATCTGCAGGGTTTTCAGGGGTGGTGCCAAATTTAATTTTTGTAGTGCCAGAAAGTATATTAAATATTTTCCCCTTCCCATTGGTATGATTGGTGTTTGTTTTGAGCTATACAGTAGTTTTATTATGGAAGATGCCAGAGCATTTCCATGCATGCCGCATTTCCATGTTCAGCCAGAGACAGATGGGGAAAGGAAGCCATCCCTCCCTCCTTCCCATCTGTCTGCTAATTCCCTTTACTCAGTGAAGAGCCTGCAGAATCCAGCTCCTAAACACCAGGAAGGACACAGAAGGCAGCACAAAGTGATTATTTTTCCTGCTGGACTTGAACAGGCTTTGAAGAGCCTTGAAAGTGGTGAAGCACCGACTCGCTCTCCTCCCTCAGAGCAAGCCAGATTACCTCCCATGTAATATGGGAGTGATTTGGTAGTTTGTTAGTTAGTATTAGCTGCTTTGGTTTAATAATGGAGCATCTAACTAGATAAGCTCTTTTAGTTTTGTCCGGAGAATCCCATCGACAGAGGACCCTGGTGGGGGTAGAGGGGGTGGCAAAGAGTCGAAGCTTTTAAGTCTCCCCCCAACTGTTGTTTGAGGTCATCCACCAAATCATTGCTAGCCTTGAGAGAAATTATTTTAAAACACTTTCTATTCAAGGAATTACTGGAATACTAGTAGAAAAGATACATTTTCAGTGGTGGGGATCAGTAGACTTAAATTATAAAAGGCAACACAAGATGTCCAGCCAGGAAGGATGTTTCAAAAGAGTAGAGGCACTGCCCCTGCAGACCTAAGAATTCAGTCTTTAGGGTGACCTCGGAGCACTAAGGTATTTATTTACCACCGAAGTGTCTCTAGAGCTCTCCATCACTTCCTCCCCCTTAGCCCAGTCATGCACTGGGACTCTCTATCCTCCAGTTAGGCGGCACTCCAGTAGGTAAAGAACCCACCTGCAAATGCAGAAAACATAAGAGACACAGGCTCAGTCAATGGGTCAGGAAGATCCCCTGGAGGAGGGCATGGGAACCCACTCCAGTATTCTTGCCTGGAGAATTCCATGGACAGCGGAGCCTGGTGGGCTACAGTCCATGGAGTCACAAAGAGTCGGACACAACTGAGGCAGCTTAGCATGCACACAGCACTTAAAACACCCTGAAACTTCTCCAATCCAGGCTGCAGGTATGATCCTCACCCAGGAGCCTCCCATAAGGAACTGGAATTGAGCAAGTCTCGTCAGTCTAGGGTGGACTCCTAAAGCGAGGTTGTGTCAACTCCCAGTTGTGTGGGGATCTGCTGAGAGGAAAGAATAGAGCAAAGGACACAAGCCTTAGAGAGACGGGAAATCCCTTACCAGTCACTTTCCTTTGGAAGTTTCCATTTCCTCATGGGGTTTTTGAGAAGACGCGTCTTTTTATATAAGTTACCTTTCTACCCCCTGAAACCAAACTAGCTTAAATAGCATTTTATTCCTCACAACCTTCTTTCTTAGACCCATTGCAAGTGGGAGCTTCACAGATTTGGTCTCACTCTACAAGCCAGCGGTGGGTGTTGCCTACCTCTTAAAATGGAAGGGAGGCCACGAACATCTGGATTGTCCCATTTGAAGCATACCAGGCTGCACGATATACTTACTGCTATGTATTCTTATTATTTATTGTTATTGCCAGCTAAATACTTTACCTCCACTCCCATTTAATTGCCACAATCATATGATAAGGATTCTGAGAGTTTTTAACCTCAGAAACACAGGGATGGGTAAGGACAGAGCCAGGACTGCGGAGTTCAGATCTACTTGGCCATGGCTGCAGAAGATACAGGGAAGACTCCAGCCTGGGTCAGCCTTGGACAGTAGCAGTCAGGGCCTGTTCAAGGCACCAGTTCAGAAGATGACGGCTCTGGGCAGTGGAGACAGGGCTGTGTGAGTGATAAGGGGTGATTGCCAGGAAGGTCAGTGGAGCTCACATTAGACTCTTCATGATCATGCATCCACAGTATGATGCATTTTTTTAAAAATTTGTATTGAAGCATAGTTGATATATGGTGTTGTGTAAAACTGGTCTTCCTTCAGGTCTACATAGGTATACATTCTTTCCATATTCTTTTTGATGACAGTTTATCACAGGATATATTTCCCTGTGCTATCCAGTAGGACTTTGTTGCTTATCCATACATTTTATATTAGCATTTACCCCTAATGTTCGGTGACTATCATGGGAGTTGTGAGAATGACAAAGTGATGATGCCACAAGGCCTTTCCACCCGTCAGTTTTTGACCTGGGAGGCAAAACCCATCCCCCAGTATATTGTAGCTGCTGCTTTATCTGTGGCCCTTACAGGTGAGCATGTGGACCGCAGTTCTCCTGCGCACGCAATGCTGTGCCGGTCTGTGATGGGCTCATCGCCAGCTTCTAATCCCAAACTAACTCATGATCTGAGCTCATATGTCTTCTCAGAGGAGAGTGCTGGTAACCTGTGGGCTGCCTTCAAAACCTGAATTCCAGGCCCTGGCTCCCTACCAGTGCCTACAGGGAGGGGTTGCAAGGCCCTGGGTTTCAAAAGTCAGCTAGTCTAGGACAAGAAGTCTGTTTATGTTTGCCTTTGGGATTTGATTAAGAGGATGATATGCACATGATGGTGAATGGTTACGATCATTTGTTACAAAAATAAGGACGGCTTTCACATTTTGTTTAAGGCTTTGTCATCATAAAGCCTTCTTCCTCTCTCTTCTAACACTTATGATTTCATTTCTGGAGATCAAAGTAGACAGAGCTTTCACAACTCTTCACCCCAGCATTCCCAAAACATGTAGTCATATCCAAGGCTCCCTAAACTCCAGGGAATGTGACCATGGTTGAGGAGCATAATGAATACAGTGAATTTAGGGCCCCATGTCTTCTGTCTTCTCCATTTTGTTGAATGAATGCCTTGTTTCACAAGAGCTGGTCATAATGCTTAGAGATAGTTGAAAAGTATTTTCCATGATATCATCTGAGCTTGTGGGAATTTTTTTTTTTTTTAATCTCTCCTATATAAAGCATACCTTCTGTTTTGGCCAGTTTTTTCCCCTAGCTTGCATGCAACTGGATGGTAGAATGTCTGTTTTCTTTTCTCAGGCAAAATTAGATGTTTAGTACTTTCCCAAGTCGTCGTTAGGTTGAATGAGCCTCAGAGACTGAAAGAATATGTCCTAACAGCTGTAAACAGGAGCATTCTAAGATGTAGCCCCCCCCCCAAAAAAAAAACACATTGATGATGATCTTTAATTACACATTCTGTATCCTGAATTCAGTGACTTTTTAACAGACCTGATCTTCTGGCCTGTCCTCAAGAAAAGCTCAAAACCTAGAGGGCTTTTAGTGTAGGTGGAGGCTGAGGGACCCAAGAGTCCTCCAAGTGCCAAAGACTCCAGCGCCAAGACAGGCACTGACACATCCTTTTGGCTGGGAGGGCAGGTTACATGTCGGAGACACAGAGAGAAAATGGTAAAGCCAGCTCTCAGGGAGCCTGCTGAGAAAGCCCTGGCCCCTGGGGTCATCAGCATGTTTGCTGAAATCTCTTTTTCTCGGAAAGTTTGCTGGCTTTGTTTCTCCCTTACAGAGAGAGGAAAAGCCCCAAGACATGGGAGATTTGCGGGACTCTTTCTTCAAGGATAAATGTGTCTGCTTGCAGCAAGAAACTCCTAGGCTGTGGAGTTTCACGAAGGGTGGAGACAGTGGGAAGCAGATTGCGTCTTGCTGTGGGAACCATCTCCCCAGGATGTGGGAAGGGGCAGGTGGTCTGAAGAATGGGTGAGTTACCCATGTGCTTTCCCATCCTTCAGGTTCACCAGTACTACAGCTGTCTCCCAGAAGAGAAAGTCCCCTATGTCAACAGTCCTGGAGAGAAACTTCGAATCAAGCAACTATTACACCAGCTGCCACCGCATGACAATGAGGTAAGGGGGCTAGAGGGGCCTTCAGAAGCCTTAGAACTAAAAAAAAAGAGAAGAAGAAGCCTTAGAACTTTCAGCGAATTGTTAACTTTTTCGTCATCAGAACGCTGCAGTCAGTGAGATCCCCAAGGAAAAACTCGGGCAATTTATTTTAGGTTTTGGTTTCCTTAGTTAGAGGTAAAAGAAACTGTCAGATGCCTTCTGGAAAGGGTTACTGAAAAGCAGAATCTTATGGGGTTGATTTGCCTTTGTGCCTGGCACTATACTAACTACTGGGGGCAGAGAGCACTAAACTTTACAAGTTCAAGTCCAGGTTTTCTTAGTTGAAGAGTATGCGATGCCAGTTGGCTGAGCATGTTAGATGAAAGAGATTCCCTGGGCAGTTTAAGCCCAGCACAAACTTTGTGACTCTCTTAGAGTTTTCAGCCTCTTTTCTTAGTGAATGAGTGTGTAGGTTTTCCCATGTTACACTGCTGTAGAAGTTACATGTCCAGATTTGCAGCTGTGAACATCTGTGTTTTTGTTATTTCCAATCCAGCTTGCCAAGGTTATCCTTTTTACTCCTGAAAATACGACTTGCAGATTGTTTTTTTTTTTTTTTCTGAACCCAGACAAGGGCACTCTAAGCAGGCATTTATCATCTTTGAAGTCAAATTGATCCTAAAAGGAAATTTGTGTTTTTAAAAGGTCATCATGCTTGGGAGGTTTAGGTTTGCAAACTAAAAATTAATGTTCATGTATCTGGTTTTTAAAAGTAGTGATCCTATAGAATCCAGTTGTCTACTTAATTCTAATTGTGTTTTAAAGAAAGCCATAATTTCAAGGTAAAAGGAGAAATTTAAAACTCCTCTAGAGAGCTGGACCCGGGTTTTTACCAGCTGCCCCCACCCACGAGCTCAGTCCCTGAGGAAATAAGTGTGTGGTTTTTTAGTCTTCATCTTCCCACATTTGAATAAAAGGAATAAACCAGGAGCCTCAAAAATTAATTTGAATAAGCAGAGCAAAAGCTTAAAAACTGAAGCAACTCCCTAAAAAGGGAGTCATAATTCCCCTTCCTGTTGTTTATTTCAGACTTCATAAAACAGATTTAAATAATGCTTTCTCCTTTAAAGAGGAAAGCAAGCATTGTAACCTGATGCCCAGGTTACTAATTTGAAAGTGAAAATGCCGGTTTTTACAAGCAGGAGGGGTGTGCCTATGTTTCAAAGCATGTCCATAAACTGTCAGTGGTGTCATCATATTCTTTGGGTTATTCAGATCATGGCAGTACATTCTACACATGAAGACTCTTTTTTTCAAGTTTTCTTTTTTTTTTACTTGATAGAGGAAAGTGGTCTCCTCTTACCTACTCCTCTCTGTTTTTTCATTTTTATTTCTGTTTCTGGTTGATTGTGACTTCATGAAAATAGACCCTTCAAAGTTTTTCTTCCTACTGGTGAAAATTGCTTACATGTGACCCAATGGACAGATTTGTCCATTCAACATGGCCTTTTAAAGGACAAAGGGTGATTCTAAAGTAAATATTTGATCATGCCCTTTTTCATACAGGTTAGACAGTTTTGATGTATACAGCTTCAGTGGTTTTCAAACTAGTCCTAGTTCAAAGGTTGCCCTTTGACCATCTATAATAGGAGAAAGTATCCAGGCAATTCAGTTAACTTTCTTGATGTCCAGATTATTCTGAAGTAAGACAGAGGGTGGGGTTAGATCCATGTGTCCCAAAATGTCTAGATCCATGACTTTGGGTGAGACAAGGACATGGTAGTGAATAATACTGAACCACATAATGAGACTCTCTCCCTTTTTTAACTGTATTTCATTCCTTGTGGCTCAGTGGTCATGGGGGAAATTTTAGTTTGGGTGGGCAGGTGTCTCACACCTCTCCAACTCCTACTAATCTCCATTTTTGAGTAACAGCATTGAGAACCTCCGTTTTAGAATCTCCTACAAGCAAAAGTAACCAGCTAGAAGCCAACAGTATGGTTTTGTTTTCATTCTTGTATTTAGTTTTATGACTGCCCTATTTTTTCACAATATTGCTTTTCTATTTATAGTCATAATATACTTTCTTTTCAAGTAAATGTATTCAAGTAAAAAAAAAGAATTACTTTTTAAAACATTATTAAGTAAATAGTAGTTCAAGATTACAGCAAAATTCCCAAGGTGTGCATAAATAAAAGAGAATGGGAACTAGCAGATTTGAATATCTTTAATGTCCCTACCTTAATTTTAGTGAGTTTCTGTGTTGAACGAAAGGAAAATCTCTTATGCAAGTTGTTAATGAAAGCCCAATGAGCAGCCCTCTCCCTCCTACACACAGAGAAACATGCAAGTACTTCCTGAGAGAACAGAGAGCTCTGAACCAAATTCTCAGGCTCACACCTTGGTTCTCATCTCATTTCGGGAAGCAGACGCCATAAGCGTGTTGACCGCAATTCTGGCTCGTTGGCCTGGGGCCATCCTTTGGTGTCAGGGATCATTTCCTTGGGCCCATGGAGGTGAGAGTGAAAGTGAAGTTGCTCAGTGCTGTCAGATTCTTTGCGACCCCATGGACTGTAGCCTACGAGGCTCCTCCGTCCATGGGATTTTCCAGGCAGGAGTACTGGGGTGGGATGCCATTTCCTTCTCCAGGGGATCTTCCCAACCCAGGGATCAAACCCAGGTCTCCTACATTGCAGGTAGATGCTTTACCATCTGACAGTGAGAGTATGGTGATCAATTTGAAGATCCACATCACTTTGTAGAAGAAGAAAGTCCCAGATGTTGATTAGCAGCAAAGCTCTCCCAGTGACGTGGCTCTCAGTGTGGTGAGCAGAGAGGGACAGTGAGCATGAGAAACAGGTGCCAACCGCTGGCCTGTCTGAGACTTGTGTTCCTGAGTTCTGAGCCTCTAGGAAGCTCTTTTGATGGTCAACAATCTCGGGTAGACACTCACCTAAATAGCCTCAAGCCTGGTGGTATTCAAGTGCCCGCCAGGACAGTGAAACCTAGTACACGTGTGTTTAATAAGAAAAAAGTCTGAGGCCAGGGCTTCAGGAATCCTCAGGAGCAAAAGATGACCACCACCACCATCCCCAACCTTCCTGTATGTCTGTCCAGGTTCGCTACTGCAACTCCCTGGATGAGGAAGAGAAAAGGGAGCTGAAGCTCTTCAGTAACCAGAGGAAACGTGAAAACCTGGGCCGCGGCAATGTGAGGCCCTTCCCGGTCACCATGACGGGAGCCATCTGTGAACAGGTGAGCGCGTGGTCTGGGCCGTGCCCGGGGGGGCCACTCAGGCATCCCTTCCCTGATTCATTCATTCAGCAGTTATTTTCTTGAGAGCCTACTTGGTAGGCCTGGGAGATACAGCTGTGAGCAAATGGTTTGAAAGCTTGGTCTTGCCCCTGGAAGGAGTTCTGTCCTAGGAGAGAAGTCAGACAATATTGTCAGTAAATAAGAGAAGAAAATGCAGTGGGGAAAAGAGTTAATGCTGGGAGTGTGAGGTGGCTGCAGTTCTCAGTGAAGTGGCCGGGAAGGCTCCACAGAGACAGTCGGGAACTGAGGGAGTGAGTCACGTGACGGCAGGGAAACGGGGCTGTGAGGGAACAGCACGTTCACAGACGCTGTGGCAGGAGCGTTTCTCTTACGGTCCAGGAGTGGCAGGTTGGCCCGTGCGGCAGGGCAGGAGGGGCAGAGGAAGAGACTGCACCGGTCAAGTCCAGTTTCATGGAGGGCTGTGGCAGCCTCTTGAAGGAGAGAGAGGGCCACTGGAGGGATTTGAGCAGAGAAAGGACATGATGGAATTATATTTTAAAAGGAGTGCTTTAGAAAGTGGAGTTTTCCTGCACCGTGGCCACCCTCTTTCCCAGGATCATCCCAGAACCAGTGCCCTTTAAAGAGATGATAGATGGTCATCTCCTTGGGTCTGAAGATTCTTTAGCAAAGTGCATGCACCTCCGCATTCTTTCTAGGGCCTCCCACATTCTTTTCTAGGACCTCACTGAGTTGAGAGTTTGGATTTGTTTTTTCTTCTAGTCTCCTGTAGAGTGCTCCGGGCATGATGGAGAAGGATTTTTAAGAAAACAGGGTGGGAATCAGGCCTGCCTGGGTTCACCCTCCCTGACCTCTTGACCTCCAAAAGCCTTCTGGGGTGGATGGTCATATATTGAGCACTTTTCTTAGTCCTGCTGCTCAAAGAGTGGCCCCCTCTAGCTCCTTAAGCACTTTAGGAACCCATTCAGGCACAGACTGCAAGAGGATACATGACCTGAACTGGTGAAGAAAAAGCAACATACTACCTGAGCAGAGGGGATGCCATTTATTTGGGGGGCCCTTTTGGGGAGGGATTTCAGAGAGAGAAGTTTGGAAGGCTCAGTGGATGAAATGGAGATGCTACATAACAGGGGAGCCAAAGCACCAGAATTGACAATGGGGTCTTTATCCTTGACACCCACTCCTGAGATGCAGGTGGTCAGAGGTTAGGATGTGAGGTTCCTTGTGCTCCATTCAGAGCCTCTGCCACTCTTGGGTGGTTCTCCTTGACCAGCCCAGGAGGGCTCCCCTGAGGCAAAAGGGAAGTTGGGCATTTCGTAGGCAGATGTCGAGAGTGATATAGAATAGTGATGACAGCATGGAGACAGAAAGATGTAAGTTTGACACATGATTCTGCCAGGTGACCTTGACCCTATTGCTTTTCCTAACAGTTTTGTCATCTCCAAAATGGGGGTATCGAATACCTAGGTTGTAGAATCATGGTGAGGGTGAAATGGGATTCTGTATTATTACAGTAATTAAACAAGGAGGCCATTAGACTGGGGTGGCTCTATTGCCTTGGTAGCCTGTATCAGCAGACCAAAACCTGAACCAGTCAGGGTACCGGAATCTGAGAAAATGACACTGAAGAATAACCAACCAATTACAAGCAGCCAGCCAGGCTTTCCCAAATAAGGGGACCACTTACTCTCTGTAGTCACTGAAATACTTTCCTTGCCTTTACTTCCATGACTTCTCTATAAAACTCTCCCCCTGGGTTTCTGTCCTTGGAGTACTCCCAGCCACCTTCGGTTTGATGCTTGCTACCCAATTCAAATCAGTGTTGGAGCAAATAAACTGGAAAGCTTTAATGTGCCCCCTGGTTTATCTTCTAACAATACACATACCTCAGCTCTGCTAATGTTACCACACAAGGCCGGGGTATCACTTTCTGTGATGTAATGTCTTTATTATGTCTGGTCACTTGCATAAATGAGCTCCCAGAGACAACTCCATGAGACCTGGACTTCATTTTCTGTGAAGCATCTCAGCGCTTTTGATGGCAGTATGTGGGAAAGGTCTAGGGGTGGCCATTCTGCTCTTCAGATGTCGCCCCCAGAGTCAGCCTCTCAGGCCAATGCCTTGAGCAGCAGAGAGCCTCCCCCAGACCTGTTGCCTCACACTTTATTGTTCCCTCCAAGACCCTCAGACTCTATTCGTTTTATCTTGAGCCCAGCTGTAAGCATGGGTTATCATGGATTTTGCCTTGCTCCTTTCTGGGCAGGGGAAGGAACTTTGGAAATGAGTGAGAAGATAGGAAAGGAAGAAAAAAGAAGTCCTTGCCATAGCCTGGCCTTAGGACCAGAACCTTTTCATTTGGGACTGTGTATAAACATGTCAGAGGAAGCAGGCCAGAAGCATGCCTGAGAGGCTTCTGGAGAAACCTGAATGGTAAAAGGTGGGCATGTTTTTATGAACCCACTCCCCTACCACCCTAAGTGTAGGCCCCACCAGCTCCCCAAGTCCTGCAGGCTTCCTTCTCGCTCCCCCACGCCACACAGCTTCTTGCTGCAGGCGTTTGATGAGGCCGGGCCTCCGGCAGGGAGTTTGCAATATCTCAGAGATAATGAGACCTCCGCTGTTTGCTTCCTGTCAGCGGAGCTCTTCTGTGTCGCTGTGCTGGCAGACCTTGCCTTTCTCTCCCACGTCTGTGATTCTTTATTTTCTCAGTGACAATGATCTTCGTCTTACTTGTAGGCCCTAGGAAGGGATGGGGAGGTGGGGGGGCAAGAAAACCCCCCCTGCCACGTGTAAAGCAGGTAGCACAGTAACTCGTTTGAAAGTAAGTGCTCAGTAATGAGCTAATGGTGCTGGTGGTTGTGCATCTTTTCTGCATGGCGCTGAGAGCTGGGGGCTGCTGTTCCTCGTACTGACCTGTTTCTGTTCACCTCACAGTGTGGAGGCCAGATCAATGGCGGGGACATCGCTGTGTTTGCATCACGCGCTGGCCACGGTGTCAGCTGGCACCCACCCTGCTTTATCTGCACTGTCTGCAACGAGCTCCTGGTGGATCTGATCTACTTTTACCAGGATGGGAAGATCTACTGTGGCAGGCACCATGCAGAGTGCCTGAAGCCGCGCTGCGCAGCCTGCGACGAGGTCAGAGCTGGCTCCGATCCGTGGGGCCCACAGCCCCGCTGTCACCCTGGGTTTCACCATAGCCAGCACATTGCCGTGTGGTTCCTGCATGGAGGAAAACCATAGGCCACTCCAGCCTCTCCTATTAACTCTTCTGAGAGCAGGTCTAGCCCCATCCCTGGTTGCTAGAATGTCCAGGACTGTGACCTGCTTTACTGAATTTGATAGTTTCATAGGCTGCTCTAGGGCACTAGGTCATTTCAGAACTCTTTAAAAAAGGTGAGGGGGAGGTATTGTTGTGGAGCTTTCGATTTCAGCCCAAATCTAAGGGAGCAGTCATCATGAGTAATAATGTGTCATTTCTGAATATCTTAAAATTTTGGGTGTCCTGAGATTCCATGGAGCAGATTTAGGTGAGAAGAGAAGAGAAGAGTAGCGTGATGTGATTGTCCCATAGTCTACGAAAGTCCTGGTGAGGATTCCGGGGCAGATGGCTGCTCCATTAGGATTCTCCTGCCCCATACTCTCACCCGGGTCAGAGAGCAGGCTGGGCCCAAGGGGTTCATCCCTCGTCTTTCCTCCCAGTGGAAGTACGCCCAGGTGTGGTCTGGGAGCTGGAAGGTAGAAAACCTGGGCTAGTATAAAAGTTGGGAGCAGGAAGGAAAATGTTCTAAGCTTGACCGCTTTTACAGGAGTAATTTGGGAAAAGGTCTTGGGCAGGGGGTTCTTCCTATGCAAAATATACTTTTGGTTCTTTATTGACCCTGTAAGGCTATGTGGGACCCTGTAAACAACACTCCACTTTGTCACCCAGAGGCCACCTGTACATGGCATTTCTTCCTTACAAACTGACCATCAGAGACTCACTCTTCTAGGAGGAAATCTATCAGTCTCAACTAATACAGATTCTCATGCTACTGCTGATGTTCATAAGAGATGCTCTGAGCAGGTAGTTGGTCCAAGTTTGTGATTCTAGGCAGCACCTTTCCCTACCTGCCTCAGTTCCCCCATCTGGAAGTGAGCGCATGTAATACTTTATCTGATGGGAAATGAAGTAGGATGATTAAAGCACTTTGAAATTTGTGCTTTTTGAAGTCTAATTCATACAGCATAGGATTTACCCTTTGAAGGTGTGCAATTCAGTGGTTTTTAGTATATTCACAAAGTTGGACAACTATTGCTGCTGCCTAATTCCAGATCATTTTTATCATCTAAAAAGAAACCCCAGATCCATCAGCAGTCACTCCCCTTTCTCCCCTCCCCCCAGCCCTGGCAACCATTCATCTAGTCTCTCCATGAATTTGCATATTCTGGACGTTTTGTGTAAGTGTATTAATGCAACATATGACCTTCCATGTATGGCTTCATTCACTTAGCATGATGTTTTTGTGGTTAACCCGAGTTACAGCATGTGTCAGTACTTTCCTTTTTATGACTGAATAATAGGCAACTGTATATGTCACATTTTGTTTAGCCATTTATTAATTGATGGGCATTTAAGTTGTTTCCACTTTTTGACTGTTTTAAACAAAGTTGCTGTGGACATTCATATACAGGTTTTTTTGTGGGCATATATTTTCTGTCCTCTTGAATTTATATCCAGGAGTGGAATTGCTGGGCCATATGGTAGTTCTATGTTTAACTTTTTGAGGGGATCTAAACTGTCTTCCAGAGCAGCTACACCATTTTACATTTGCAGCTATCAACGAATGAAAATTCCAATTTCTCACATTATCCTCAGTAGTTATTACTGTCTGTCTTTTAAATTATAGTCACCTTGTGCTATGCTGTTCCTAGTAGTTCGGTCATGTACAACTCTTTGGGACTTCATGGATTGTAGCCCACCAGGCTCCTCTGTCCATGGGATTCTCCAGGCAAGAATACTGGAGTGGGTTGCCATGCCCTCCTCCAGAGGATCTTCCCAACACAGGGATCGAACCAGTTTCTCACATTGCAGCAGATTCTTTACTCTCTGAGCCAGCAGGGAAGCCCTGTAGTCACCTTAGTGGGTATGAAATAACATCACATGGTGGTTTTGATTGGATTTTTCTTAATGGCTTATATTGTTTATCTTTTTTTCCACGTGTATGTTGGCTATCTGCATATCTTTTGGGGAGTAATGTCTCATCAAATCTTTTGCATATTTTTCTCAGTTGGGTGATTTTTTTTTTTATTGTGTCCTTGTGAAACTTGTTTATATATTTTGGAGTCTAGTCACTTAGATATGTGATTTGTAAGTATTTTCTTCCATCCTGTAGTTATATTTTCACTTTCTTAATGATGTCCTTTGAAGCATGAAAGTTTTTATTTCAATGAAATCCAGCTTCCGTTGTTTCATTTGTTGCTGTGCTTTTAGCGTCATAGCTAAGAAACCATTGCCTAATTGAAAACTGAGTTTTTGAAAATTTACATCTTTACTTTTCTTCTAGACGTTTTGTAATTTTTTTGCTTTTACATTTAGGTCTTTGATCCCTTTTGAGTTAATTTTTATATGTGGTGTGAGGTAGGGGTTCAGTTTATTCTTTTGCATGCAGTTATTCAGGTGTACCAGGCAGGTTTATTGAAAAGACTGTTCTTTTCTCCATTGAATATCCTTGTCACCCTTGTCAATCCTCATTTGGCCATAAATGTCTGAGGTTATTTCTGCCTTGATTACTGCAGTTTGTAGTAAGTTCTTAAATCTGTGCTTTGAAACTGAAAACAAGTCTATCTCAGGGGTCAAAACACGAATACCTCTGAGGGCTAGGCGGTTACCGTAAATAAAGGTGACTCATTTTAAGGTAACAGCAAGTGGTGAAAAATATGACAAACTGGAGAACTCATCACTCATCTGAAAGCAACAACCCCTTGTATTGTCGCCATGCAGGAATGTATAGCACACGTTGCCAAATGCTGTGTTTTCAAAAGAGAAACCAGGATCCCAGGTGTTTATATGACATTTCTCATTTTAAAAAATACCATATATAACCCAAATTGAACAGATAATGGCCAAAATGGCCATGAGCTGTCAGCTGTTAGTCCTGCTTGATATTCTTTTCAGTAGACTATTCTTTGCCTGAATACACTGTGGTTAAATTAATCACTGGCCAGGTCAGAAACTGTTTAAATGTGCTTTAGGAAAATCCACATGTGGAAACTGATATAGGTATAGAGTAAATATATACATACCTACTTCTTTGAATCATTTGTGGGCGGGGCCGGTTTTCCTCCCCTCCTAGTCCGGGGCCCTCCCAGCTTTCCTCCTCTGCGGTGTGCTCTCACAGCTCTTTTCTCACCACTGACCTCTCGGCCTCTCCACCTGCAGATCATCTTTGCAGACGAGTGCACAGAAGCTGAGGGGCGACACTGGCACATGAAGCACTTCTGCTGCTTCGAGTGCGAGACGGTGCTGGGCGGCCAGCGCTACATCATGAAGGAGGGGAGGCCCTACTGCTGCCACTGCTTTGAGTCCTTGTATGCGGAGTACTGCGACACCTGCGCCCAACACATAGGTAAGGCCGCGCTCGGTGCTCATCTCGGTCCTGCTCTGACTGATTGCCTCTGTGTCTGGTATAGTTAGAGTCCCTTTGGTTGCAAGCAATGGCAATCCAACTGATACTCCCTTAAGTGAAAAAGGAAATGTCTTGGTTCATAGTACTGGAGAAGCCAAGGAGGAAATTGGTTTCAGGTAAGGATGGATCAAGGGATTGAAGAGAATCTGGTTTTTTGTTTTATTTTGTTTTTTTCCCTCTGTGTCTCAGCTTTCCTTCCATTGGCATCATTTGGAAACAAGGTGCCTTCGCAAGGTATCACAGTGACCCCCACACTAATACATACCAGCTTTAGCACTGTTCTCTAAAGAGGATGGAATCGTAACTTTTCCAGTATCCAAGTCAGGTCCTCCAAATAGAAATGCTATAGCCCGCCATTAGGTCATCTGTTCCAACCCTGGAAAGAAATGAATACAGGGTTCCTGTTGGTCTGCCTGAGTTATAGACCCACCCCCAGGTGGGGCTTCGTGAAGGACAGTCTTACTACCAAGCAGAGGAGGAGAGGTCTCAGAGGAGGGGAAAATATAAACAGATGTCTTGCACGGCCTCCTCGGAAAGACCTCAGGGATCAGCAGAAGGAGGAAACAGAATGGTCCTCTTGGTGGGAAAAGATAGTCAAAGAAACCAAGTGGCAACTGGCATGCATGTCCTGAAAGAAATCAGCAAAAGCCAGCCCAGCCAAAAAACAAAGCAAGAGAACCTCAAATAGCTCTGAAGCTATAAGCGCCTCAAATAAGTGGCAGATTTGAGATGGTGAAAATCATTTTCCCTTTTCAAGTAACGGACTCGTTCAGCCCTTCAACACTATTCCTGATCATGCAGCATCTGGAGCGTCTTCACTCAGCTCGCCTATTCTGGCACCTTGAGAATGAGCTGCCCTTTAAAAAGAGAAGAGAAGTTGGCAATGGATGAATGTCTCTGAGACCAGCAGCCTGATCTTCCTGTGGCTTGTGCAGTTCCAAGAAATCTGCCTGGAGTCTGCCAACTCCTTACCTATAGTGGGGAGGTGTGGAGATCATCAGTCTGGGAGCCAATTTTACCTAACTTAAAAGATTTTATCAGGAACAAAAAGAGGTGGCTTTGTCTCCCTGGTTTATCAGAAGTGATGCAGTCAGATGAAAAGTTAGTTCATAATTTTAAGGGCTTGGGTGCTGATAAAAATCACAGCTTTGAGGCACCTACTGTATCCTCAGAGGTCATTTGTCATTGGAGGATCCATCCCATGGGCTCAGAGCCACCTCCATGGAGCCCTTCTGAGCTGACGTCCCTGCCAGGCTCAAGGATGAGCAGTGCTATGCTGACCTGAGTCCAGCAGCGTTCCCATCTGGGAGTTGGGCTGTCACGAAAATCCCCCTTTCCCCAACCCTTGAAATCTTCGCCTCTCACAGCCAGATGCCTCAACTGGGTACCCACCAGCTTCTGTTTCTCACAAGTCAAAGCAGTTAAATAGACATACTTCCCTTTATTCTGAGAGCTAGCAAAGGAAAAGAGCCTGATGCTGGGAAGGACTAAGGGCAGGAAGAGAAAGGGGCAATAGAGAATGCGATGGTTGGATGGCATCGTCAACTCAGTGGACATGAGTTTGAGCAAACTCCAAGTGATGGTGAAGGACAGGAAAGCCTGGTGTGCTGCAGTCCACAAGATTGCAAAGAGTCAGACATGACTGAGCAACTGAACAACAAGGAAAGGAGGATCTTGATCTGGACAACGGGTTGGGGGTGGGACTCGGTCAGGAGAGCTAGTGTGAGGTGCTAACCCAGCACGCTCACCGTGGCTCTGGGTCTACAGGGAGATGCCTGCTTGGTTGAGAGGGGCAGAACATACAGACACCTTCCGTACAGCATCCACCCCCCGCTTGTCCATATTTCTGTTTCTTCTGTCCCTTTTCATTGAGACTGAAAAGCCTCTCCAGAAACTGCCACTTAAAATTTTTGCCCAGCAGCTTGGAAGAGAGAAAATGCGTCTGTCATCATGGCATGCACACCTCTGTTTTCCCTCTGTTTTCTTCGGTTTCTGTCCTCTTTAGCTTTGATTGCCATTCCCTCCTCCTTCCCTCAGAAATCCATAAAAAGACATCCATGCGTTATCAGAAAGGGGGACCGCTGTGGCCTGCAGTATTATCACTGCTGTAGTTAAAATGTTGTCCCTGATTTATTTTTTTCCCTTAAATCCACTTTTCTGTAAAACATACTTTTCCTGCAGCAGAGGAAGGGCGCTCTCTGTGTATCATACGTACCACAGTGTCTGGGTGCTCTGCTCTGACCATATTATCCAAATATTCCCTATTTATACAGCCGCGCAGCGCGGACCCTGCATCAGGCAGCTGTTGCCAGGGCAACGGTACTTTTGCCTGCACACAGCAGAGTAAACAGCCCAATAAACAGACTGAGGCTGTAGCAGCAGTAGACATATACACCCTCAGAGAAGTACTTAAAGGGCTTAGAGAGGGAATAAAAAAGGAACGCTTAGATGTGGAACGGCCGAGCCCTTTTCCAGATGTTTAGAGTTCAGGAGCAGTTCAGAGCACCATCTGACATCGTTGATGTTTATCAGGGACCACGTTCCTGTGCCGGCTGGGCTGCTTTGGAACACGCCTCATCCTCCACTCTCCCCTCAGCGACTCAGCCTTGTGCAGGGCCCCCACCCCCAGAACTAGGCCCGCACTGCTGCGTCTGAGCGTGTTCCCTTGCAGGAGCACAGAGAGGCAGCTGGTGATGCACAGGCCGTAGGAACTGGACTTCCACACCTCCAACAGGCAGCGGTGAGGCTGTAGCTGCTGGGGAGGCCGCGCTGAGTTGGAGCTCACAGCGAGGACCCCAGGCAGCTGGGTGTCAGCTCCAGTTCTCGGGACGAGGAGGACGGGGCGGGGGACATGAGGACCTAGCCAGCCTCAACTCTTTCTTGGACAGCATCCAGGTAGCAGGCCTCAGGGCAGAGAGAGACAGGTGTTGAGACCTCGTGAGCACACAAGAAGACCACGAGTTAGCAGAGTCTAAGCACTGACTGCATCTTAACTCAGTTCTCACAGCAGCCCCAGGAAGTAAGCACTGTTACCATCCCTGTTTTAGTGTTTAGTGGAGGAGCCGCAGGCCCAGAGACGTGAAGCCACTTGCCTAGGGTCACACAGTGCTTTAGCGGCTGTACTAAGCTGATGGGTTTCAGGGTCTTTATAACCTGCTGGCGTGGTGTGGAGCTGTGGTTTGAGCCTGTATTTGTCTGAGTCCTGAGGCCTCACTCTTAAGTACTAGACGGTTCTACCTGCCTCTGCTCCCTCCAACAACCTGGTGAGGGAAGCGTTTTTGTGGGGATTTTGCTTTGTTTTAAATTTTTATTGGAGTATATAGTTGCTTTACAATGTTGTGTTAGTTTCTACTAAACAGAAAGTGAATCAGCCGTACATCTATATAGATATGTGTGTGTGTGTGAATATATATATATATCTCCTCTTTGGGAGGATTTCCTTCCCATTCTGTACTCACAGAGCGTTGAGTACAGTTCCCTGTGCTCACAGCAGGGTCTCATTACCTGCCTTACACGTGGTATCAATAATGTATATATGTCGATCCCAGTCTCCCAGTTTATCCCACCCCCTTTCCCACTTGGTGTCCATACATTTCCTCTCTACATCTGTGTCTCAGTTTCTGCTTTACAAATAAGATTGTCCATATCAGTTTTTTTCAGATTCTACGTATATATGTTTGTATATGATATGTTTTTCTTTCTGTGACTTCCTTCACTCTGAATGACAGCCTCTGGGTCCATCCATGTCTCTACAAATGACCCAGTTTTGCTCCTTTCTGTTGCTGAGTAATATTCCATTGTGTGTGTGGCGCCCCAGCTCTGGGCCTGCTGTCTCTAGCCCCATCCCTGCCAGTTCTCACTCCTCCTGGGGAAGTGGCGCTGTGACAGGAGGTTGACTGAGTGTCTCACTCACCTTGGGGTGCCCTTGTGGCTTCTCCTGCCCCTCTAAATGTCCCCTTCCAGTCCCTGTAGCCTGACACCTAAATAAGCAGAGACCCCCTTAGTTTGGGGAGGAGCTCCTAGGAGAAGAACAGACCTTACTCTCCTCTCTCTCTGGACCAGGGACATAAAGATAGTGAGGCGGACAGAGAGAGGGCCCGGAGAGGGCCCAGAGAGGCTGCTATACTGTTGGCCTTTTGTCCTTGCCCTTCTCCATTTCCCCGTTTCTTATTCATACCCTCTCTAGACAAGTCTCTAAAGGTTATTCCTGGAAAGTTCAGACTCAGGACTGTCAGCCACCACAGGTGACAGTTCCCATCCATACTGGCTCTCAGGGAAGACATTTATCACGAGCTATGAGCAGTCTTGCCAAGGTCCCCTCCACTCCCACAGTCACTGCTGGGTCTGCACTCCTATGGGGGTGGGGGAAGGGGCCCCCACCACTTCCGGCTCCCATTCTGCCTGTTTAGTAACTGCTGTCAAAAGGTCTCCCTGTGTGTTTACCTTAGTAACAGACCCAGGTGCCTCTCTCACTGACCTGGCGCAGGTCACGTGCACAACCTTAAACTAGTTCTTGGGCTGGGAGGAGATGTGGTATTTTTACTGAACAGTGCCAGTCCAGCTGTGGCTTTAGCCCTGCCCAAAGCTCATGGCCCAAGGGTGGCAGGAAGATGGTGTCCCACCACGGGGTTAAGTCCTGTAAGCAGACGACGACGGAACAGCCAGGGCTATGGGAGATTCCCGGAAGCAGGTGTAACAAGATTACGTAAGCCGGGCACAACTTTGGCACAAGGAGGAAGTTACATGGGGGATATGCATGCTCATGGTAAGGAGGTGTCTTTGACAAACCACATCCAAGTTTTTCCTTACCATGAGCTGAAATCCACTTTTTTCCTTTCCACTGAGCTGCTAAACTGATGACCCCTTAGAGTGTCATACGCTATGAAGGGATTCAGTTCACTTGTGCACTTCACATGTGAAGAGGCCCTGGGGCATGAGACCCAGGCCATGTTCATGGAGACACCCCAGAAACTTCATCATACAACTTCACTTTTAGTAATTAATAGATGCACATATATAGTGGCTCATTGTCAAGCAGTATTCGTGCTGTGAAGAAAATAGAGCAGGTGAGGATGGACAACGGTCAAGGGTAGCTGTGAGGGTGGACAGGACCACGAAGTAGACTGAAAGAGACGATTATCAAGGTCCTGGTTAGGAGCTAGACGTGCTGGGTACAGATCTCGTCTGTGATTACTAGCTCTTCTACACTGAGCAAGTTATTTAACCTCCTATGCCTCTGTGTTCTCATCTGAAAAGTGGACTTACTATTAAGAGATCTGCCTCCTGCAGTTGAGAGGTTAAGTGAGTTCACATATATGCAAAGTGTTTAAAGCAGTGATTCTCACACCTTAGTATCATTATTGCTGTTTATCTGGAGGAACGTGCCCTGGGCAGAAGAATTCATGGACAGGCTACTTTGATCTGGCAGAGAGTTAAAGAGGACCTGACTGGTAAAACACAGCGATTGTCATAATAAGACACGAATACTGTTCACACGGGAGCCTGATAGTCGACCTATTGACATTTTATTCTGCAGCATCTAGAACCCTGAGTCGAACCAGGGTGCTGTACATTTCACGTTCTGTTGCAGTGCTCTGAGCAGCTCGTCACCCTCTTCGTGTCCCTTCTTTTCCCAGGAATTGACCAAGGTCAGATGACCTACGACGGCCAGCACTGGCATGCCACCGAGGCTTGTTTCTGCTGCGCCCACTGCAAGAAGTCGCTGCTGGGGCGGCCCTTCCTCCCCAGACAGGGCCAGATCTTCTGCTCACGCGCCTGCAGCGCCGGCGAGGACCCCAACGGCTCAGACTCCTCCGACTCCGCCTTCCAGAATGCCCGGGCCAAAGAGTCCCGGCGCAGCGCCAAGATTGGCAAGAACAAGGGCAAGACGGAGGAGCCGCTGCTCAACCAGCACAGCCAGCTGCAGGTGAGCTCCAACCGGCTGTCGGCCGACGTGGACCCCCTGTCGCTGCAGATGGACCTGCTCAGCCTGTCCAGCCAGACGCCCAGCCTCAACCGGGACCCCATCTGGAGGAGCCGGGACGAGCCATTCCACTATGGGAACAAGCTGGAGCAGAGCCAGCCACAGAGCCCCTTGCAGCTCCTCAGCCAGTGCAACATCAGAACTTCCTACAGCCCCGGCGGGCAGGGGGCTGGAGCCCAGCCCGACGTGTGGGCCAAGCACTTCGGCAACCCGAAAAGGAGCTCGTCGCTGGCCATGAAGGGCCACGGTGGCAGCTTCATCAAGGAGTGCCGGGAGGACTACTACCCGGGCAGGCTGCGGTCCCAGGAGAGCTACAGCGACATGTCCAGCCAGAGCTTCAGCGAAACCCGGGGCAGCATCCCGGTCCCCAAGTACGAGGAAGAGGAGGAGGAGGAAGGGGGCCTGTCCGCTCAGCAGTGTCGGACCCGGCACCCCATCAGCTCGCTGAAGTACACTGAGGATATGACGCCCACCGAGCAGACCCCGCGGGGCTCCATGGAGTCGCTGGCGCTGTCTAACGCAACAGGTAGGTTCTGGTCTCCTGGTACCCTGAGAATGTTCTCGGCGTCCTCTGACTGCTGGTCCTCAGGAATTTTGCATCGTACCCACCACATGCCCTCCTCCACCAGGTTGTCAAGAAAGGTGAACCCCCCAATGGCTCCTTTGATTGGATTCCTTCTAAGCGGAGCCTGAGACGGGGTTAGGGTGCCTGTGATGTGTTGAGAACATGCTGTCAAGGAAGAGGAGTGAGAGAAACAGAAGGACAGGGGGAGGAACCAAGTGGAAAATGGTGTCTGGGCTGGGGTCGAGCTTCAGCCTGAGCCTGCAGGGGGCTCTGGAGGATGAGTGGGACCATACTGTGGGGTGGGTTCCTTCTTGGGACAAAGGGACTGATGCTTTGCTCAGCCATGTCAGTCAGTCATTGGTCCCGGGCAGCTGGAGAGCGACTTGGGGATGAGTTTGTGGATGTGGTCACAGAGGGCAGGAGAGCGCCTCTCAGCCAAAAGCGACATTGAAGAGAAGGGATGGGTGGTTGTGAGCTCCAGTATCTCATTAGGGAGCTGGTTTTAGTGTGTGGATAAAGATGAAAGAAAGGAGGATAGATAAGGAGCAAGCAGGCAGGCTGAGAAGGACAGAAGTGGTGAGAGACACACAAGACAGACAATCCATTGCCTGCTCTTGCCAACCAGATTGTCCAGCTGTTTTGTGTACCCACGCAGACAATGTCAGCATTCTGCAAGATGACTCTATGCAAAGTGTCATCTGAGGAGCAGGTCTGTCCACAGTGCACCCTGAGATAAGTACTGATTTTAACAGTGTTTACGCACCCTGGGAGCAGTTTGACATTATTGCAACATCCAAGTGCATGTTCAGTGGGCTTGTCTCTACTGGTTCAGGTGTGCACTGGTCAGGCTGTGAGAGACCGCTGGGTGAGTTGTCTGTGGCGTGTGCTGGGTGTCAGTCCTGCTCAGGTGGGTCACATACCAGGCCACACTGGGCTGAAATATGAAAACTGGTCCTTGGCTCCAAATAGATTGAGAAATGCTGCTTGAAGGAGCATTGAGTGTCTCTGCCTTTTGTGGATGGGACACCAGGAGGGAGACACATGTCTGTCGCTTCCAGTAGGGATCCCAGAGTCAAATGTGTCTGTCCCAGTGGAAACTGTGGCAGCCTCATGCATGTCAGCCCCCTCTGGAGGGACCACCGCCACCAGGTTCCAACTGGTTGTTGCCACTTGCAGGAATGTTTATTTATTCAACTAACAGTGATTCAGCACTCACCATGTGCCAAATATTGTTCCAAGCGCTTGATAAATATTCACTCCGTTACATCATCAAAACTCTTTGAAAGAGAGAGACTCTTAACAGTCTCAATTCAGAGTAGGAGAAACTGAAGCCCAGAGAGGTTGAAGCACTTGCCCAAAGTCACCCAACTTTTTAAAGCAGGGATTGAAACCTCTGCATGTGACCCCAGAGCAGTGCTCTTACTCGCATCAGGCTGCCAACCTCATCTGAACTCCATGCTGTTAGGTCTTCCAGGTTCCCAAATAAGTTTAAAATTTGGATTTTTTTTTTTTTAATGTAAAGCCTATTGGCTGCTGGACGCAAAATGTGTCTCTGAATTGTAGAATATATGTATGTTGTGTTATTAACCTCATCATCCTCTACGGTGCTTTCACAGCTGTGTGCTCCTTTGTCTTGGAGGACACAGAGCAGGTATCCTTACCCCCATGTTTCAGGTGAAAAAAATGAGGCGACTAAGCATGTTGCCTAATGTCATACAAGGGCAAAATTAGCACAGAGTGATGACTGCCTGGCTTCCAGCCCAGTTTGTGCTGTTCTCAAAAGATTTATATGCTATAATTATTTAAGAGGGCAGGAGATATGTATGTAATTCAGACTCTGAAGTGGAGCTTCTCAAAGCTAGACCACCTGGATCAGAATCATTGGCTGCTTGATCGAAGCATGAATTCCAGGGCCTCCCCTCCAGGCCCAGTGTATCAGACCCAGTAGAGGCGGGGCCCAGGAACCTGCATTTTGAACAACTCTCTGCTGGTGCTCACATGACCACTGTCTAGAGCAGTTGTTCCTGGGTTTGTCCGTTCTGACTTGATTGTCCTCACAATGTAACTTAGGAGGAAATCAGGAGATCTAGAGGTTGGAGAATGTTGGAAAGACCAACTAAATATATTTGAAGAACATGTAGTCTCCGACCCTAAGGAAAAGGCAGGTAATTTATCCTCAAGATTTTCTGTAGATCCTTGTTTGGGCAAAGCAGCGAATGCCACCTCTGTTTCTGAGAACTTTTTGGAAAGCAGCCCTGAACCACTTCTGACAGAGCTGAGAAAAATTGCCCAGACCAGCACTGTCTGATACAGTAGCCACAAGCCACATGTGACTATTGAAATTTGAGTAATCAAGATGAAATGAAATGAAAATTTCCGGCCATCAGCTGCACAAGCCACATTTCAAGTGCTCACCAGCCATGAGCTGAATTTTAAATTCCATTTCATTTCAATCAATTTCATTTCCAGTCACCACATGTAGGTAAGCCAGAGGCTACCCTGTGGATGGCACAGATGAAGGGAGTGAACTGTTGGGATGGGCAGAATTTCAACCCCATTATTAATCTCTTTGGGCTCTCCTTGTGGCTCAGCTGGTAAAGAATCCGCCTGCAATGTGGAAATGTGAGAGACCGCTGGGTGAGTTGTCTGTGGCGTGTGCTGGGTGTCAGTCCTGCTCAGGTGGGTCACATACCAGGCCACACTGGGCTGAAATATGAAAACTGGTCCTTGGCTCCAAATAGATTGAGAAATGCTGCTTGAAGGAGCATTGAGTGTCTCTGCCTTTTGTGGATGGGACACCAGGAGGGAGACACATGTCTGTCGCTTCCAGTAGGGATCCCAGAGTCAAATGTGTCTGTCCCAGTGGAAACTGTGGCAGCCTCATGCATGTCAGCCCCCTCTGGAGGGACCACCGCCACCAGGTTCCAACTGGTTGTTGCCACTTGCAGGAATGTTTATTTATTCAACTAACAGTGATGCAGCACTCACCATGTGCCAAATATTGTTCCAAGCGCTTGATAAATATTCACTCCGTTACATCATCAAAACTCTTTGAAAGAGAGAGACTCTTAACAGTCTCAATTCAGAGTAGGAGAAACTGAAGCCCAGAGAGGTTGAAGCACTTGCCCAAAGTCACCCAACTTTTTAAAGCAGGGATTGAAACCTCTGCATGTGACCCCAGAGCAGTGCTCTTACTCGCATCAGGCTGCCAACCTCATCTGAACTCCATGCTGTTAGGTCTTCCAGGTTCCCAAATAAGTTTAAAATTTGGATTTTTTTTTTTTTAATGTAAAGCCTATTGGCTGCTGGACGCAAAATGTGTCTCTGAATTGTAGAATATATGTATGTTGTGTTATTAACCTCATCATCCTCTACGGTGCTTTCACAGCTGTGTGCTCCTTTGTCTTGGAGGACACAGAGCAGGTATCCTTACCCCCATGTTTCAGGTGAAAAAAATGAGGCGACTAAGCATGTTGCCTAATGTCATACAAGGGCAAAATTAGCACAGAGTGATGACTGCCTGGCTTCCAGCCCAGTTTGTGCTGTTCTCAAAAGATTTATATGCTATAATTATTTAAGAGGGCAGGAGATATGTATGTAATTCAGACTCTGAAGTGGAGCTTCTCAAAGCTAGACCACCTGGATCAGAATCATTGGCTGCTTGATCGAAGCATGAATTCCAGGGCCTCCCCTCCAGGCCCAGTGTATCAGACCCAGTAGAGGCGGGGCCCAGGAACCTGCATTTTGAACAACTCTCTGCTGGTGCTCACACGACCACTGTCTAGAGCAGTTGTTCCTGGGTTTGTCCGTTCTGACTTGATTGTCCTCACAATGTAACTTAGGAGGAAATCAGGAGATCTAGAGGTTGGAGAATGTTGGAAAGACCAACTAAATATATTTGAAGAACATGTAGTCTCCGACCCTAAGGAAAAGGCAGGTAATTTATCCTCAAGATTTTCTGTAGATCCTTGTTTGGGCAAAGCAGCGAATGCCACCTCTGTTTCTGAGAACTTTTTGGAAAGCAGCCCTGAACCACTTCTGACAGAGCTGAGAAAAATTGCCCAGACCAGCACTGTCTGATACAGTAGCCACAAGCCACATGTGACTATTGAAATTTGAGTAATCAAGATGAAATGAAATGAAAATTTCCGGCCATCAGCTGCACAAGCCACATTTCAAGTGCTCACCAGCCATGAGCTGAATTTTAAATTCCATTTCATTTCAATCAATTTCATTTCCAGTCACCACATGTAGGTAAGCCAGAGGCTACCCTGTGGATGGCACAGATGAAGGGAGTGAACTGTTGGGATGGGCAGAATTTCAACCCCATTATTAATCTCTTTGGGCTCTCCTTGTGGCTCAGCTGGTAAAGAATCCGCCTGCAATGTGGAAGACCTGAATTTGATCCCCGGGTTGGGAAGATCCCCTGAAGAGGGGAACGGCTACCCACTCTGGCATTCTGGCCTGGAGAATTCCATGGACTGTATGGTCCATGGGATCACAAAGAGTCTGACACAACTGAATGACTTTCATTTTCATTAATATCTTTGGGAATTCTGTCCTGAGCCCTGGTTTTTCAAATTCTAACTTAATTAATAGTTTGGAATACCGGTTCTGCAGTTACACACCCTAGGTTCAAATCCAGCCTTAAAGCAGTAACTTAAATTCCATGAGATTCAATGGCCTCATCTATGGCATTTGATGAGTAATAGGACTTCCTTTGTAGGGTTTCTATAGAAAGAAATGATCATATACTTAAACACACTAATACAGTCTTTTGACACACATGACTGTCTCCAATGGTTACCTGAGTTTTTATTTTTTATTTTCCTCTCTCATCCTAAATATACTGGTGCATGGTTTTGGCCTCTCAGGATGTTTGGCTTCTGGTGTCTCCCTGCATCCAGCAACTGTGCAGATTTCCATTTTTAGGTTTGAAACTGTTTCTGTGGGCTCCTTTT